AACCATGAAGTAAGTCGTCGGGTATTTGGGAATGCACGAACTCACTAGCGCATCGAATCCAGCTCAATAGGCTTCATTGATTAGGACACGTCTTGCGTAAGTCCGAAGGTCGCCTACCACAGGCAGGCTGGAAAAAGCCGCGTGGAGGCCAGCAGNGGTTAAGTAGGTGTCTCTCGTCTTCCGGGATGGAGTTCAAAAGACTCTGAAACCGCATGGTTGGAGACACTGAAGGTCATGGCTGCGAACTGACAGCAATGGCGAGCTTGTTCTCACTTCTTGTCAGACCAGAGTGCTTGAAATAGTATGTATATACAGTTATGTTGTGTATTCTGTGTTGACCAGAGAGGTTCGCTCTGTTTCCCCGTCCCTAAAATTAAGTCCAATCCTTATCCTCCTTGCACATTCTCACTTACCCTGTATGAAATGAGTTTAGCAGCGATCAGAGCAGTTCGCTTCACTGTATTACGCTGCACAGTGATGATGAACCTATTAGATGACATGCGCAACACATGTCCCCACCAACGTAGTTCATGGAGGTCAATGGACGACCGCGATTACCTGGAACTCTGCGCCTAACCTGGGCATTGATTTTCTAGTTTCCCCACCAGACTGGTGCAATCCGGCATAAGAGCAGCAGTCTTGAACGGATCTTCGCCAGCGGTGGCTGATCACGATGTAGACAATTTGAATCCATCGCTGTGAAGAATAAGGTGATTTCCATGTAAGGCGGTGTCGTTTTTTGTGCTATAAGTTGCCGCTCGACATCAGCAGTCTGTTGTCAGCGCAAAGTTGAAGTAGGCGTTCTCCGCTGTCAGTCCGGTTGGCTGCGATTTCATGTGTACCATCAATAAGCGTTTCTGATTCGTCCAGGGATCCCACTTAAGCATTGAAATCTCCAGCGAATACCACCATGTCCGCTGACCGAGCAATTTGCAACAATTAAGAGAGGTCCTTGTAGAATTTATCCTTCATTTCTGGTGAACTGCAATCAGTCAATGTATACACAGACAGGACGAACAGACACCGGCGCTTCGTCATGAACCGATGAGACGTACAGCACAAAGTCGGCTATTAACAATAATCAAGTCGAGAAGTGAACGCTTGACCCTGACACTTAGTGTAATCCCAAAACCAGCAACACAACGAGCACCGGATGTCAAATCGCTTGAAATACGAAGAGGGAAGATAACGTCAGATCTGGAGATCGAAAGGTGGAGATTAAATTAGTGTCTTGTGAGCGTGTATCGGAGACAGTACAGATCTAAATTGAAAGTTTCAAGGGTTCTAGCTAAGGTGGCTTGTTGAACGATCTGATAGTGTGCGGACATTGAATTCTGCTGGGTGAAAAGGAGATTTTGGTTTCAAAAACCTGATAGCTTCTGGTTGGTCGACTTCATTGGTTGAACGCTCATGGGTAGCGCAAACAGGAGGCATCTTCTAAGAGTTGGGGTGTGAGGAAGAACTGGACAGGTGAGAACGAGGGTTTTCCAAATGGAGACAGGACTTACTTCGCGGTGGGATTTTTCTTTAGAAACACTAATCGGAGCCTTTGACTCAAGTCTGACCGGAGCATCGGTGTTGGAGCTTCTGGAGACCTGTTGCGCAAGGTCCTTGGGGTTTCGGTTCAGTGTGTTGTTCGCTAGTGCGTTGATTGTCGATCTCCTGTTCTGGACTGACCCTTAGTTTCCTGCACTCAGTGCGACAGGTTCTGGGAAGTCTTATTTTATCGCGCAACATCTCGAACACCACTTTGTATGTCAAGTCACAATTTCCTCATTGTAAAAATCGTTCCTCACTGGACACCTTTCCTTCTCTTCTTATTTTTCATAATTTTTATTTACTTTTGACCATACCGGAAAAAGCTTCGTGTTTCTTTGATTACAGTATTGCTTTCAACTGTCAATAGACCCCAATTCCTTTTTTGTGGTCGTGGTGGTTTAGCCGCTGTCACCGACATGCTGCTCCCTACGGTCCGAGTTTCGAGCCCTGCCACCGCCACCTAACTTCGGTGAAGGCAGCTTTGCCGCAGTCTGGTTGCATACTACGCCTGACCTAGCGGGGACTTACGTAATTCGTCACTCCAAGTCCCGGGCCCTAGGTAACCGGTTTCCATCACTGAATAGCAGGTCTTTGTGATAATGGGGTCCATCCTGTTCTGTTCGGATAATGCTGAGTAACTGAGAAAAGGAAATTGGCCAAATGCACACTTTAATATTTTAACAACTAATACAAAAAAGTAGAAAAGGGTAATGTTCGATGTGAAATGTGGTAATACAAGCTTTTATGACTCATCCCATCATCACATAAGCATCATAAAACAGGACAATTCATTCCATCCTTTATTATGCTTCAAACGCGATTGTTTCGAGGAACGATACCAAGTTACGTGTTTTATTGGTTAAAACTGCGGTAGGACTTCTGAAGATGCAGGAGCAATGCAACGTGCAGCCTGATAATCTTTCTAAATAGGGTACTTCGTTATCAATTCATATTACATATGGCGAAGACCGCGGCGTTAGAACACCGACAACATTTTTATCTTGTTCTCGTAACGGTCAGGTCTCGGCACCGTAGAGCAGGACTGACCTTTATATATATATATATATATATCGATACAGTAACCGAGTTGGCTAAGCGGAAACTGAAAACTTGTGGATAATACAAGTGCCGCTGAAAAATTGTTTCGTGTTTGACAGAGCCGATCATTTTTGAAACCCAAAGTTGAGATCATGATTTCTGCAATCTCACTCCGAGTGCAGTTGATAGGTGTTCTTGTGGAGGGCTGTAGATCTGCAGCAAATGCAGACACCTATCTGTAAAGTTCTGAAAAACCATCCGACGTCGCTGAACTCCACCATTCCACGCTATTCAGGATCTTGCAACACTGAATGTGAAAGCAGAGTTCTGTTCTCTCAACCACATTTGGATAAACCGATCTATACCGGTCAACAGCCATACTGGCCACCGCCGATGCGGTTAGAATTCGGTTACATATCACACCACCCCTCTTGTGAACCCCAAAGCAGACTGAGATCACCCAATCTCCTGTGTGGATTCTTGACGTTGAAGTGGAAAGAAACAGCTTTCAGTTTCTGTCGCCACATCCAAACCAGAACTCCTCATGAAGGATTTTCGCGAGGCCACAAAAATGTTCAACGGTGCTCCAGAACCAAAACTCATACAAGCAGTGACATTGTTTTTCCGATACCAGCTAACTTAGTTCCTTGTGAAATCGGTCCTCTGAAAGTCGGTTACTCCAGGTTCGAATATCAGTGTGACTGGACTGGACTCGTGAAACACCATCAAACCCAACCCACCAAATAAAGCGGTACGTCGTGCTTCTTATTCTAACCCCCTTCTTGCTTAATTTTTTCAAACGCTCCTCTGCTCCTGAACTAACGATCTATCTCCGGTTTGGGGCAATCCTGGAATATCCCCTAGGTTCGCAAACATGTATGGCCAGATGATACGTTCAAAGAACAAATGACTAAATACACAAAGCCTAGAAACCTCTCTCAAATTCCGCAATTACTTAGTTCATCCTGTTCTGAGCGTGTTCGACGCAATTGGTGTCGGAGGTAGTGGCAGTAAACAAGGGAAACTGAAAGATTATAGTTCTGTTGTATTTTATGAGGCTAACCTCAAAGGACTAGAAAAGCCCACCAATTTTTATTTGCGCTCCAACAATTCAAGCTTCCCAGCCTGAATAGCATCAGATCCGTCCTGTTGAAAACGATTTACTGGGGTTGTTCTCCTCTTCTATCGAACCCATCCCTTCGAGTTAGTCTTCCTTTTCCTCAGTTCAGCAGCCGTCACTCCGTGATCCACCTAATCCTCCCCAAGTCACGGAAACCGTAAATAAAACGCAACTACTACCGCTCATGAAATGAAGAGTGCCAAGAAATAGAAAAAGACATTCAGCGAAGTTGGAACCAGCACGGGTTGAAGAATCACTTTTACATCAGGCTTCAGAAAAATAACCAAAATGCGCCGGAACGAATTTTCCCCGGCATTCCATATTGCCACTTCCCTATTTTCGACCGGAGCGCTTTAACTCGGGGTATATTTACTCACGTTCCTGTCTTCTTTACCAGCGTGGATACCGACCGGTTAAATCTGCATCGATTAGTGGGACCAGCGGTTCAAATAACAGTACGGGGCCCCAACTGCGCATTTTACGCCTAATGCATGCGGCGCAGCCATGGCAAACCATCTTAGGTTCTGTAGGTAACGCTGGATGCCGTTACGTTTTCAAATAACACATTGAGAACTAGCCCGGAAATTAGGAACCTCTATCCGACTGTACCATCCACGGAAATATAAATCAGTGCCAGACCTCGGGGAGTTTCTAGCGGTCACCGACTCTCATGGGACCAAACGACTAATTCGAGTAGTGTAGCCCGCATGCGCAGTCTGCGAGCCGCTAATCTAGCAACGGGAGTGTACTGGCTACCAACCCGCATAGCCCATATTATGTCTAGAACAGTCCATCAAATTCATCGACCCGGCTGACCGTTAGTCATGAGAGCGAAACACAAGTCTGTTCTCGAAAGTATGGCAAAGCATAGATTGAACTGCATAAACACGCATTCAGCGCCAGCATTGATGACGCCACCAATTAGGCATGAGGCGAAAAACAGGACGGCCTGGATACCCCGAGAGGAGGAATTCGATCATAGGAAATTCACATCAATACTAAACTGATTGTTTTCATTTGCCTGACGTCCAAAATACACCGTTTCCCACCAAAGCGGGTACACCGAGAACCCATTAATAGGGCATGCGCCAAAGAGATTCTGTACGTCAACTGCCGCTACAGACATCAACATACTGAATATCAACAGGTCACTAAATTTCCCAAAATCGCGATAGGCACGAACTGATAATCTCGTAATATTTCGTGCATCGAAGAAACATTTGAATCAATACCCTGGGTATCCAATGTTCGAATTACAGGAGTCACGGTTATCCCTGAGGAAATGAAAATATATTTAGCAAATTCAGTGAATACTGAGAAGCTCAACATCAAAAATTAACGTGGAATTCGGCGGGATAAGTCCATTACCGACATTCTGAGACCCATATGCGTAATCCGGAGAACATGTGAGCCTCGACCTTTCGCCCACACTCATCCTCATGACACCTTCATCCCACCCTTTGATGACCTGAGAAATGATTAAGGGGAACAGTCGAGTAATTACCTGGCCACAGCCGATTTTGAACTCGAAAGGCTTGTTGCGATCGCGAGAGCTGTCAAACTTCTTGCCACTAGTAAGCGTTCCCGTGTAGTGTACCCTAACGGTTTGGCCCTTCTTCGGGTACGTGACACCATCCCCGTCTTTGAGTATATCAACCGTCACGCCCATGTCCGAGACAAGGTCAATATAATGTCGATCTAACCGACCAACGAGTGAAGACTAAAACAATCGCCACTAGAAAGCATGTCTATGAGTCTCTAATTTAATTTTTTTCGGATCAGTTTGATATGTGCTTAAAAATGTTGATGAACAATCCCATTACCGGTAAGTCGTTGGAGCGCGCGGTTTGAAAATGTATCGTGGCTCCCTAAGTTCGTTTTCTTCCATGTTTTTAAAAGTTCAGTTCAGTTCAGTTCAGTTGCACAGGATGAATATGGCTCTTGTTAATCGAGCGTCCAGTTCGTTGTGTTGTCGGCGGATGGGAGTAGCTTCCAATACTGCGTACAGTTGATCGGGTATTTGTGATCCTCACACTTCAAACCCGTGTTTCGAACGTTATCTCCTTGGGGGTATGCTGAAAGGGAGAAAAACAAGCAAGGTTATCTCTTCGCCTCATTGGTTAGAGACCTCAAGTACACTTGCGCTAGTATACAGCTTACGTGTGACAAGAGAATCAAGGTTTTAGAATAATTTCAACACTCAAACCCAAGTTTATATCATTTCACAAATTCTGGCTAAAGTGGAATTTACTTTTAATGTTACCAGTCTAAGTACTAACTTCGGGGAACGTTTCTGACCAACATGCGTCCAGTGCCACCTTGAAGGTGTTAACATTGGCACAGTTGACCACTTC